TACACTCTTAACAGAGGCGGGACATGGTCTGTGTAGCCCACCTCACATGTTCAAGGAATGCCTCTGTGCTTGAAGGTATGTGTATGACCCCCTCTCCTATTGATGACTGCTACAGCCTTAGTTTGCCTCTGCTCCAATTGAAAATGAGTAATATAAAAGGATAGTTAGAGCTATCTTACTCTCGGTTGCTTTGTTCAGGATAACAGTGTTGGGTATTCGTTGATCCTATAATGTTGACCCAAGTTTGTAGAGAGGTTTAGGGTACACATGCTCTGGCTGAGGGGTCCGTGGCCCCATCCCCAGGCACATTTTTGGGAGAGGGCGCAACCAGGCGCCCCCACAACCGGCTCCTCCAGGGAACTGATATATAATGAATTGAAAAAAATGTTTAAAATAACATTTGTTAAAAAACCCCAGAAGCATTTCCATTAGGAATTATAGGTTCCGATATCCCAAAAGACCAGAAAAGACTATTTATGTATGTGACAACAGCTGCAAGGATGCTACAAGCCCAAAGATGGAAAGAACCAACAGTTCCGACCAAGGAAGAATGACAAGCCAAATTGCTGGACTATACTGAAATGGCAAAACTGACTGGGAGACGCGGGAATCAAGAAGATAATGACTTTAAAAAATAATGGGGGAAATTTATAACTTACTTAGGAGACCATTGTAAACAAATAAAAACGATAGCTGGACTTTAAAAACAACTTGTAAAGAAACAAAAAATATGGATAATTTATAGAGATGAAAACTGGAGAACGTAATGACATGTAGTTTTAGAAAAATTATGTTAAAGACCCACGCAGGGAATGGGGGGGAAGTCATGAGATTCAGAGAATCTCATATATGGATATGGTAAAAGTTTTTTCTTTTTATTAATTGGAATATGTTCTTGTAAAAGCCAATAAAAATATTTATATTAAAATAAAATAAAGGTGAGCTTTCACATAAAAAAGAAGTAGTATCCTGCCTCCAACAGTGGAGGTAGAACATAGACATAATGGCTAGTAGCCACAGATGAAATTTCATCCCTTTTTTTCTGAATTTAAGCATTGTAGATTTCATCTTTGTGAGATACATTTGAATGCCCATAGACCAGAGTATATATAGTCATACCTTCGGTCGTCACACACATGCACGGAAGCGGCAAAACACGACTGTTGCTTGTTACATTCGCTTCAGGATGCGAACGGGGCACCGGAACAGATCCCGTTCACATCCCAGGTACCACTGTACTAACAAACTGGAGCAATGCTTGCACACCCTGTAACAGATGCAGATAACTTCCAAGCAATATAGTGAGTTATCAGCTGTCTAACCTTGTAGCAAGTATGTGAAATGATGTCCTGGTCAGTGTGTGCTGTCATGTCTTCTGCAAAATTTCAGTGAAAACCCTAACTTTCTGTAGTATTCTTCAGAGATTGCTGTGTAATGTAGGCTGCATTGTACAGAAGCTGCTTGTTGAGGTGGAAATTGTGTGTGGCGCAGGTGATATAATCGTATAAGAAGGCTAAGAACCAAGACACTAAAGATCAGAGCATTACAGCTGGGAAGGTGCAGACATGCAAAGTTTGAATAGCAGCCCAACCAATAAAGAAAACCCTAATAAACATCATTTGTCCTTTGGAGAGAGATCTGTTTTTTCAAATTATAGTGTTTTAATTGTGGAACCTGAGCTTTTGGAATACTTAGGCGATCGTTGTGATTTTAAACTTCTTAAGTTGATTGTTTTCGCCAGATTTTACACATTTTGTCCATTGCCTCTGTAATGCTGCAAAATGCAGTCATACATTTTGAAATAAATTTATTTATATACGTAAGTATTTGATGTTGGATGGGAGGGACTCTTTTAAAGACACACACAAAGGAAAGCATTCTTAAAAGTGAGATCAAATGTACTTGGAATATAAATACCACCCTGTTGTGAACTGCCAGGGTGCTTGGCTCATTTATTGAGCTGCATATTTGGCATGGGGGTTTTGGGTTTTCAACTGCTCAAGACAGACTGCTTGGCCTCCAAAAGGCTTATGCAGCCAAACTTGTCAGGGTTTGGTAAAAGCCCAAATAGATAGAAAATAGCCCAAAATTACACGAATAAACGAAAACATGCAGACTGTTTCCAAAACCTATTAACTAGATCTAGAGACTTCCTGCTTGCCTGCCCATAGCTGGTCACAATCCTTCAGCATATGTTCCAAAGAGACCTTGCAAGAGACCACTGCCTCTTTGTAATGATGAAACCAGATTAGATAGTTCAGATCTGCAGGCATGCCTTGTTCACTTTCAAAGTGTGCTAATTTTTGGTGCTGTTGCACCAGCATCCTAGAATGACTTAAACTTTGCTACCTAAATCTAGTTTTTAGATTATTAATTTTGTTTATGATTGCTTGATGCCATCTGGGACTGAAGAGAAAGAAAAGCATAGCAAATAGAGTCTTGGATAACAAGGTTTTGGGATGGGGTTGCTGCATAACTTCATGTGACTGAAGAGTGCTGAGGAACAACCATTCTTCAGCCACCAGTTCATCTCCTTTTTGTCCTGTGGCCTAGCTTCTCTTATCCCAGTGCTGGTGGGGTAGGATTAAAAACCATGAGAATAATAATTTCCTGGATAAAGAGGAGATTTATGTCTTTGAGATGGCTAGAGCTGTGCTATAGTGGTTCAGGTTTCAGACAAGGACTGGGAAGCAGTGGCGTATTGTGGGTTGCCAGCGCCCAGGGCAAGGTGCAGGGAGGGGAACAGATGGAGTACACTCAACTGCCTGACGGTTTCTGCATCGCCCAGGAGATTGCAGCTGCAGGGATAAGAAAAGAAGAATTGCTCCGTCTGAGGAGGTGGCTTCCTGGTTCGCATGGAGAAGCCGTTTTCAACGGAGCCCAGTGTTGGAAGCACACAGTTGTATTGAGGCAGCACCTGGTGTTGAAATTATGCGCCCCTAAGAATTTTTCGCCTCAGGCAACTGCCCCGTGCCCCCCTCCCCATGCTATGCTACTGCTGGGGAGACCCTGGTTTATATCCTTACTCAATTATGTAGATCATTGGGTTACTGTGGATGACGTCGTATTTCCCAGTATTATCTGCCTCCCAGGGTTATAGTGAAGATAAAATAGTGAACATGGTTCCTCTTCCTTCTATCTTGTTCTCTTGGGAGCAAAAGTGGTTTATATTTGGTATATGTATATATGTTGAGCTGGAACCAGCTTTGCCCTTCACAAACGGAATGACTCTTTTTGCTGAAATCCAGCAGAGGCTCCCACTGAAGGAAGGGATGGGGGCACTTTTCTCCAGTTTCTCCTGATACCCCCAGAGCAACTTCCCTTTCTGTCATCCAGCCCCTCCTGATCAGCTTGCTCTGAACACAGTTCTGCTCATGGGTAGTCTGGCTCCGTAATCAATAAGCAAGGAAATGCTGTAAATGCATAAATAATAATTATTTTTCTAGTGAACATATCAAAACCTTAGAGTACACTGTTATGTAGCTGATTGGGGGAGGATGTTTCATGTTTTTTAAAAAGCAACGCAAATGTACAATAATGTGCTTTGTTTAAAAATACAAAAAAATGAATTATACTTGGACTGTATCATTTTAAGAAATGGAAATAGCCTGTTTTCTCTGGGTCATCACTGGTGTGTTTTTATGCAAGGGGAATGCTTTTTCGTGTTAAGGAAGGAAGCGGTAGACACGTCAGTATTTATTAACATTTTTGACAAAGTATGGCAGCACAGGCTATACTTTTTAGGTTTTGGCATGAACAATCGCCCTTTTATTGGGCCATTAATGCTCTTTCGGAACATCCGCAGGCAATAATTTAGCAGCTGTTTATCAGAGGCTTTCATAAAGCCCTGAATAGTCTTCTAACATTCAGTCACCCTAACATCAGCGTTTTAGAATCCATGCCTGTTTTTAAATGGGAGATCTGTGAATGTGGTTGCTCAGGGATGCGTGACCCACATAACCTATAAATTTGATTGGAAGTTACATTGCTGGCATAGGCTGATGGATAGCAGATTAGAACCCTGATTAACCATGTGATTCGCAGGCTGGGAATATATTGTCTAAGCAAGATTCATCAGATGCAATCAGAATTTCAAGTGGTCAGATGAAATTCAAATGTACCGTGTGGTTTCTCCGCCCCCCGCCCCCGCTTTGTGCTTTTCTTCGTAGGTTGCCTTCTTTCTCTTGCCCCCCCTCCTCATTTCCAGTGCTGAAAAATACTTCTTTGATGAATCTGCTCCTCACCCTAAAGCTGTCTGACTGTTGTTCATCAGAAAGCAGGTCGCAGTTCAGTGAGCAGAAGAAAAGATTTTAATAGAAGCTGTGCCAAGGGCTGTAATGCATCATTTTAGGGCCCTAATTACATTACAATGACAAATATCAATGGTGACAACAGCAATAACCTACATCCTTTAATGGCTGTGCTGGAAAAGGAGTTTGGGCTCTGTGCCATTAGATTAGACTCGGTTTCAAAACAGAGGCCATTAGAAGTGTGTGTCCACAGTATTATTGGCCGATAACTGAAGCCCACTGGAAAGCCTTGTAAATAAATGCCTCTCTAAAGCATGGCCCCATGGGACAAAAGAAGCAAAATTAGAGGACCATGGAAGCAGCGGTGTTTCCGAGGCAACTTTAGCTTTCAAAGTGAAGAATTGGCTACTTAATTTTGTGAAATCCTGCTTCTCCCCCTCGCTTGGTCTCTTTCTGTGCTTCCTCTTGCCAATTAGGGGGATCATAAAAACTCTATTGGCAAAAGCATCTGAATGAAGAAAAAGAGCATCTTAAGCGAAAGTAGCTTCCTTAAATGTTTTGCAATATGGATTTTTTTTAAGAAAAATGAATAAATCAATGCAGCTACTTTGTATACAGAGTTGAGCAAATGCTGGCAAGAAATTATGTCATTCATATTAACCTAGCTGGGAGCCAGGGAGAAATATTCCAAATCTGGTGTAGCCAATGTGCCACCCTCCATATGATAGACAACACATCCCATCATCTGAGGGAAAGATTGTAGCTCAGTGGTAGAGCATCTGACTTGCCTGCTGAAGGTCGCAGGTTCAATCCCTGGTGTCTCCTGGTAGGGCTGGGAAAAGCGCCTTTCTGAAACCCTGGAGAACCGCTGCCAGTCAGTGTTGGCAGTATGCACTGAGCTAGATGAACCAGTGATCTGACTTGCTATAAAGGCAGCTGCCGGTGTTCCTGTCTCAGACCATCCTGGCTGGGCCTAATGAGTGACAGACTAGTGATACCTGGAAGGTGCAACATGGGGCATCCATGCGCTAATTCTTCACCCAGAATAATTTGTACAAAATTAAATTTATTTTAAACTTCTTAAACTTGCATGCTTTCAGTTTCTAAGTCAGAGCCAGACCTTTTAAATGCCGATTCTATGAAAAATAATAATGACCCTTCTCTGTCATTTATACTTATTTATACCTTCACAGGAATAGCATGAAAAGAATCCCCCATTATAACCTATTAATTAATTAATTAATTAATATACCACCTTTTTCCCTGACGGAGACTCAAGGTAGCTTACAGATAAAATAGGAGCAGCAAAATGAAATGAAATACTATTAAACATTAACAGAATTAAAACTATACATCTATATCTGTCTATATATAGATGTATCAGAACTATTAAATACAGGTAATTACAATAAAAACATATTCTAGGTCTTAAAGCTCTATATTACGGTATTTACTGTAATGGTGGCTTGAAAGCAACTAATGTGGTTGATGCAGGAACATTCCTAGTAAGTGTTACTGGGTGCAAGTATAGCACAAAATTTAATTTCTGGCGCAAAGGAGGTGGAACCCATAAATAGGCTTTTAATCATGGGCAAGTCCCTGTGCATAGGAAGATACTTGAGAGCCATGAAAACTACATGCAGTTCACGTCATCATTGTCTCGCTTGTGGCTTGAAAACCTGTACTGTACTAACTTCCCACACCCAAGACATACACTGTACATGGGAGCTTGTTGCTAGTGGTAGGCAGAGTTATTGAAAAAATTACAGTGAGTCCCAGGAGAGGTTGCCAACCAACTAAAGGAAACCCCCAGGATTGGCCTTGCTTTGCTTGCTTGCTTTCTGGCCAGTTTCCAGGACAGCGCGGAGCAAGGCCCTTTTCTCTGCTCCCTGCCACTTTTGTGTCTGTGTGTATCATGGATGAATAGATGGCTTGTGCTGCCAAACACCACTGGTGCTCCATCCTTGGGCCCACTGTGGGCTCTGCCCTTTGGCTGTACCCCTGGGCCTGCCACCTGTCCCGGCTGGCTTTGTGCCCATGTCCCAGTATTTTATTAAATGCTGTTTTTTTACGTTAAAAAGAAGAAGACTGTTTTCTTTCAAGAGCTGGCAGCTCCAGGGGTGTGCATCTCCACCCACCGCTCACTGCCTCTGGATATATTGTCCTTCCTGTCTTAAAATACAAACAGATGTAAAAATTCAGTCCCGAGTCAGTAGAATCTGCCACTGGCTGCAAAGGGGAACGTGTAGCAAACGCTTGGCATTTAAAAGGACTTGTTTGGAATTTTCGCCCGAGAGTTGAAGGCATGTTGCAACTCAGAATTGCCTTTATGTGTGATTACAGTACAACCAAACATCGCTTACCAGAAAGCCGTAGATGTGTGCGGCGATTCTGTCATCTGCTTTAATGGGATGTGAAGAAACGATTGAAGAATGGTTTCAACAAGCCTGTGACCAAGAATAATTTGTATACCACTAATAATACCTTTGCACGGATAGTACACACAGAACAAAATGAAGGTTTCTGCTGTGCCTGGAGAGTTGTATAATCCTTTTGCTACACTTTTATAGTATAACGATGCCAGAGCATCTGGGTTTCAGGGGTTTTTTGTTTTGTTCCTGGGGTGAGGCTCATATTTTCAGGGAGGGGAAATTACCTTGCGTTCTCCCTTTGTATGATTCTCCTCCTCCTCCTCATAATTATCTGGTTTAGCAGGTGGCAGGTTACAGCAGGTTTTGGGTGAACACATAGAGCAACCCGCTTATTTGCAATAAACTTTTATTTGATGGTTAAGATAAATCTTTGGCTTTGAGGGAAAGATTTACACAGGCTTCTGGGTGGCCAGCCCTAAGTATTGTAAAAACAATGAGTCAGCCGCCCTGCATAATCACGAGAATTTTGAGAATAAAATAAAGCTTAGTTGCCGTTTTCATTATCTAACTTTCAGTGTTCTGTAGTGCTTCTGTCTGCATTTCTCCCACTCACCTAGGAGACACGTAGGTTTTTCCTAAGGCCTGTCTAAGAACCACATTATCTTTTACTTCAAACTCCTTAGCTGTCATGTTTGTAGGTGATCTAAAATCTACAGCAGGGTTGAGAAGCCTCTGGCCCTTCAGATGATGTTGGATTACAGCTCTCATCTTCTCTTAACATTGGCCATGCTGATGATGGGAGTTGGAGTACAACAACACCTGGGAGGTTGAAGACCCTCGATCGCTGGACTTGGAGTCTCTACTTTGATGATATTTTATATCTTTGCACAGCATAACAAAACCAGCTTCCGGTGTCACAAGGTGAACAGCAACAAGCCATAATCTTGGTTATTACCATCATGAGAAAGTGGCATTTTTAAATTTTATTTATGGCTTACTGGCAAAATGCATTTTGCTTGGAGCTACCAGGAACTTCAGTTGGCTCCAAATAGGGCATCAAGACTGTAAATGGCGACTGGACGATTTGACCATATTATGCCAGTGCTCTGTCATCTGTTCTGACCTCAACTTCATTTTTTGACCCTATTCAATGTGCCGGCATTAACATTAAAAACTTGAAGTGGCTTGGGGCCAAGTTACCTGAAGAATCACACCTGTTCTGACACTAAATTATGCTATAGCCTCCCTCCCCCCCCCCCCAGTGTGCTGGATGGCTAATAGGGAGAGAGGGTTGTTTTTTTAGCAGTGGCACTCCAGCTGTGGAATTCCCCCTCTCCACCATAGAACTTCCTTTAGCCTATGCTGGACTGTCTAGCGTTATTATTTTATTTGCTTGTTTGGTAGATCTCGCTTGTAGTGTAAGCCACCCACATAACCTAATGGTGTTGGGTTCCCTATTAGCATTGTGAATTAAATAAATAAACATTTTGCCCAGTGCAAATTGTGGATAGCAAGTGCATCCTCCCCTGAATCCCTTCTGGTTTTTTTGGAGGGTTCCTTAGTCTCTTTTGAAGGTTTGTCACCAACATCATTTCTTGTATGGTCAGTTATAGGAACAAAATTTTTCTTTGCCAAAATGTGAGGCCTTCAAAATACACAGTGCAAGCACCCAGATGCCCTGGCATTGTGGAAGCAGAAGTAGACTGTTGTACAAATGAGTGTACCAAGTTTATTGTGGTCAGTATCTTTGAAGTGTGTGTATTCTTTTTTTTAATTGGTTTTATTTGACTGTAGCTGTAAAGGTGCTCAGAATCATGTGCCCATGGTACTCCTCAGGTAGACTTCCATACAGGTACTGACCAGGCCTATAGAAAATTATCTTCATGATAGCCATTCTCTACACCCATACTGGATTTAAATTTTATATTGGAACCTTTAGTGGGGAAAACATAGCTAGTCTAGCCTAAAGGGGAACATCAAATTAGCTTTGAATTTAGATTCTGATGAAATGTCAGCAGTAACTTTATTGAGAACTGTACTTCTATTTTCTTTTATACCAGCTGGTCCAATAAGTCGATAATGATTTGCAATTAAAGGTGCACTTACAAAAATGGGTCAGTCAAACAATGTTTCCTTTACATAACGCCTTCTATCTGTTATAACTTGCTATTACTGTGGTCATCTTCTCCTAGTGGTTATAGATCTTAAAGATGCTGCAACTTCTACACAATGGAATAATGGTGAGCACTATGAGACCTACAGTTCTGCTGGTAGGCTGCATTTAAAAAGGGTGTTTGTGGAGTTGCAGCATAAATTAAGAACATTCATTTAGTGACTCTAAACATGTTATTATCTCAACATGCTCTGTTTGTTTTCTTAATTTTTCTTCTTCTTGACCTTGGCCAACTTCTGTTCCTTTCACACATCTTCTTTTAGCTCAAGGGAAACCATATCTCAATGTTTTCCAGGAAGATGGCCTTAAATCCTTGTTTTCTTCTGTATGTTTTCATCTGATCTTTTATCCTTGCGGAAGGTACTGTCTTAACAAGTGCATGAAACCGGATTTTCCAGCCTAGGATCATGAAAGAGCTGGTAGCTTGGGAGTGGCGTAGACAACTGTAATTAAAGCCACAAAACGTTTCCATTACTCCTGCTTGTCATCAAGCAGAATATTATGAAAGTTTTCACTTTTTTCAGGATGTTGATTTCAGGCGAAATCCTTGTAGGTGATGGCAGCACAGAAAATCTGGAAAGAAGTGCAAACAACAACAACAACAACAACAATTTTATTTGTACCCCACCCATCTGGCTGGGTTTCCCCAGCCACTCTGGGCTGCTTACAACATATCTAAAAACATAGTAACAAAAGTAGAGGAGCAAAACAAGGAGCATATCATGAAAATCTGAGAAGTTATTTGGGCCAGGTTGTGAGGGAGAGTACAGCCAATAGTAGAATGAAAGCAATGGGAAGCAGTGAGACGGAATCTGTTTTTTAAAATAAATATTTCAGTAGTTATTCAAGAAAATAGTTCACCAGCCAGGACTGCTGGATGAGAGAGAATGCTTTCCCCATCATTGAGAAGTTTTCGACATCTGCTGAAGTCATATATGTTTTATCTGGGGACCAAAGAGATGATTGGCCAGTTTGTATTGTATACAGAAGTACACTTCTGTACAACTGCTATTTTGTAATTCAACTGTGAGTTGGATAATTTTATGATTTTAGTGTTGGTTTTATGTTATACTTTACTGTAGCCATTCCATACAATCCTGAGAACTTGGGTTGAAGGGGTGGTATACAAATACACACACACACACAGTGGTACCTATGGATGCAAATGGGATCTGTTCCAGGGCCCCGTTTGCATCTTGAGTAGAACGTAACACGTGTCTGCAGGTCGCGTTTCGCCGCTTCTGCGCATGATGTCATTTTGAGCGTCTGCGCATGCGCGA